ATCATGTAAATGCATAAATTAACTTAATAAAAATAAAATGTTTTGTATAATATCGAGTATCTATTCAATAATAATTAGTTGCTATTTCAGCTTTATTTTTATGCCTTTTGTGAGTGTAAAATCAGATGTTTTTAGGTAGACTTTTTGTTTGCATCTTATATATGGTAGTTCATCACTTTTATAAAGTAGTTTCTTATAGTTCACACTCTAGCTTTTCATTTGTAGTATTGGATTTTGTGTGGAATATACTTTCATTATATTATCTTAATTTGTAGTAAAAATTAGTATGATCCCTGTTGTTTCCCAAGTCACTGTCAAACAATCTGAAAATTAAAATAAAAATAGCCCATTAATCTTTTGTACTCTAAATATTCTCTATTATAAATATATTGGGTAATTAGTTCAGAGTCATATAATTAACTTATAAAATAATTCACTGTAATTGAGTTATTAGTGTTCAATGAGTCAAATCTGTTCTTGAGATATTCTTGGAATTCAGGTGGGATAGTGTCAAGGCTGTATTTTGACTGCTATACACTTGTTTTAATTTTCTTCAGCTTCATCCTCAACATGTGTATGAGCAATTGGCAGTCAGTTCCACAGCCGGCCTTTGGTCTGGCTTTGGCTGCTGGCATTGATCTCTCTCGTGCCTTCCCACAGATATAGTCCATTTAATTTCTGTGTATTCTATCTGGGGAAGTCCATATAAAGATGCTTTTAATAGTGTTGATAAAAGGTATTTGCTATGAACAATTTTTACAACTTTTGAAAAATTCTATATGTGATCTTCAGCTTCATTTCTACTACCACGTCCATATATTCCAACTAATCTTCCTTCCTCTTTGTTTCAAACTTTTGCTCTCCAATCACCAGTAACTATCAAGGCACCTTGATTGCATGTTTGTTCAATTTCCAACTGAAGTAGTTGGCAGAATTCTTCAATGGCTTTTGTGGTTGGTGCGTAAATTTGAACAGTAGTATTGATTAGATTTCCTTGAAGGCAGATATATATACTCTGATCACAGATAGCATTGTACTTCATGATGTATTTAGCAAGTGAGGTAGTTAGTTTATTGTGCCAATGTGGCCAATAAACATATGTGGTATTAATTGAAGGGTGGAGGGATAAATGGCTCAGTGAGCCTCACCTTTCTAGTTCTCGGGTATCTTGCTTTCTGATGGTCCGACCAAGGTGCAGCGGTCTTAGCCAGTTTCCTACTTTAGCTGGCAAGGCTCACTTCCTGCAAGACATCCCTGAGGAGAAGTCACATGGACCTACCCTGATGCAGCCCTGGATGCTGGAGCAGCCTGTGGAGACCCCTGCCAGTGCTGAGATGCTTACACATTCACTGACCTGGCTTTCCTCCTGCAATCGGCACATTGTGTCTGTTTTTGTGAGATGGAGGAGGATTTTGTAAATTGGTGTTGGGCATAATTGGTTAATGTTAGACTTGTGGGCTTGGGCATCACTGGGTTGGGATGTTTTCTTGATGTGCACTTAACCTTTATATAATACTCTCTCTTATACACGAGTTTCTGTGGATTTGTTTCTCTAAAGTACCCAGACTAAAACATTATGGTACCTGGGGAGTCAAGTACTGGAGAAACAAATCATAAGATGGAGAGTAGATGTCTGTTTGATCCCTAGTGGTAGTCTTCCTTGTCTAGCCAGAGGTCAGATAAGCCACACTATTTACTCGGTTATTTTAGGGGAAAACATGGGAAGTATGAAAATAGAAAGTTTGTAAGTCCACTTGCTTTCATGCATTAAAATTTGATCTTTAGATGGGTTTAGGCCATGCCTGTAAATAAATCTTTGGAAAGATATGCCCCACCCAGTGTTGTGGAGTACTCAGGAACCAATGGTCTCTGTCAGAAGCTGGAAAAAATCTGGAACCATGAAGAAATCTCCCCTCTACGACTGAATGTTAAACGGAGCCTGAGAGCAGGCTAACATGCTTGCTAGGTGACCACCTGGATCTACTTGTTGTGTGGATTGCTAAAAGGACAAACGGGTCTGTATTGGAAGACGTAAGGCTAGAGTGATCCTCAGAGGCAAGGTTGATAAGATCTCATCTCACATACTTTGGATTGGTCAGGAGATACCAGTCCCTGGAGAGGGATGCCATCTTCGGTAATGGTAACATGGAGGGCTCGTGAAAAGGAGAAAAGTCATCAAAACAAGAGAGTGGTCGCATCAGCGAGCTCAGGCCAAGGGACTATTATGAGGAATGCATAGGACTGGGAAGTGATTTGTTTTTGTGCGCAGGGTTGCTATGGGTCTGAGCAGACTCTGCAATAACTAACAACCACAAGCTATCCAGTGGATGCCAACTAATCATCACCCTACATGTAATGAAATTTAGCAAACTTGTGAATTTAAAATCTGGTCCTAATCTAACATTAGTTATATTTTTATGTTTCCTCATTAAATAATGTTGACTTTCTGGTGCTGAAATATATAATTTTTATTCTTTTAATACTGAAGAATTATTTATCTAGTCCTACTTTATTGAAGGTGTACATGCTTCCCTGTGCATACACAAATATACGCATATGCACACATATACTTGGCTTAGAATTTTTCCCACAGACCAGGAAATTTCTAATTATATATCTGACAGCATTTTTGTAGGTGACCTTCTGTTCCATTTCTGAATCCCCATGCTCAATTAGCCACTGGAGTTTCCTTGCTGGTCAAAACACTGATCACCAATCTGTCCCTGTGGCCTGGTTATGTTAATTTCACTCACCATTTACTCTGTTGAACTTTGAAGGTTAAATGCTGCCAAATGGTTTCTACCATTCAAAATTCTCTTTATTTTCATTGAAAGCAGAGAACCCAATTCCGTTGCACCATCACCAACAATCACATTTTCTGATAAAGAACAGAAAAAGGGAAAATTTCAGAGACGCTAACATTGTTTTTCTTCCCATCTACTGGAACTGAAAAGGGTTGCATTTGACCATCTTGTTGTCTAATGGCACCTCAGTGCCATTGAACAGAGGTGGGGAGAGCACAGAATTTGCTTGACAATAGGCTTGAAAGTTTCGCTATTAGACCCTTATTGATAATTCTAGCTTCGATTGCCAGACTGGAGACTAAGTCACACAGAATTGTGAAGTCCACATGTTTAATCACATATCATTAAAATCAGCGTTTTACTCTCCTTGTTGTGGCTCTTAGGTGCTGTACACTGTTCTGTGTGTTCTACACAACAGGCTTTATGTTTGAGGACATTGTTGGGGCTAGTGTGTTAGTCTATGTTACCAATACTCAAAATGAAATCAATGAACATAAGGCTTATCCAGAGCCTTATTCCATATGCATATATGGAGAATATTTTGTTACCAGAGAAAGCAAATTGCTTGAAGAAGCTAGATGTATTAAAGCTTTTAAAGAGAAAAGGGAGAATATTAGAAGATCAGCTTTTGGTCAATCTTAAATTGATTGATTGAACCCTGATTCCTCTTCATTTTATTGAGGCCGAATAGTATCTCATCACAAGATCATCTCTGCTTCTCCACCTAGCCATACCTTTTGAGATTCAAATTTAGTAGAGAATGCTCCAGAGGAAAGAAAGATTTGCAGCTTCTAGTAATAGAAAAGCCAACAGAGGTTAATTTTGATCAGAGCTGTCTTGCAAGTGAATATTTGACTACATGAATGAAACTCAAAAACAAAACCAAACTCACTGCCATTGCAGCAATTCCAACTCAGAGCAACCTCACAGGACAGAGCAGAACTGCCCCTGTCAGTTTCTGAGCCCACAATCAAAGGAATATATCAGCGTTCTACTTCCATATTTGACTTTTCACCCTTCTGATCATGATATTATTAGAGTATTTGCACATGAAGGCTTGGGTGGATAACAATCTAGGTTATTCTAGTGACCAGAAGATTTTGCTATTTTATGGGGTACATTTTCACCCACGAAGTAAGGTAATTTGTTGCAACATAGATGGCCATTTTCAAGCATTTAACACTCTAAACATAAAGAAAGGTAGTTTTTTGGCAATGATATGAAAAGAACAGAATGAGGAAAAGGATTGCCAGTCTTCTGCAAGTGTTCTCCAGCCTATGAAGCTTGATTTCCTAAAACCATAAATTACAGGAGGATGCAAAATGAATGTCTGACATGTGTACTGTGTTTCGAATCATAAAACTCAAGACAAGTTATTACCCAACAATTTTCTTTTACCAAAATGCAAACTCCTCCTGAGGAAGCAGATAAATAATAAAGAAACTATCTGTTTTGTAATGTAATTATCTTTTTGTATATTTCAGAGAGAGAATATAGTATTATTATATATTCTAACAGAAACCCTGTCAAATATCATTTGTTACCTTTTATAATTATATATACAAGTATTTTTACATTGTGGAAACCAATTTCAGTAACTAAGGGTATTGTGGCTTTGATAAACAACCAATTAATATGCTATATCTTGTCATATGACACTGACATGATAGCAATATAGTCTATTGTTTAATGGCTTTTTCCTCTCATAATTCCCGATTTTTCTTTTGGCTAATTGATTATGTATAAATACGTACAGAAAACTATAACCCAGATAAGATGATTTTTTTAACAACAATCCTCAAAGAAAATTACATTATAGAATTAATTGCATTGTGCGAGGTGAGGTCACGGCAAGGGGCATCACAGAACCCCAGTTGACAAGGCAGTGAACCTCTGTATGACAGAAGGGACCACTGCCCAGTGTTGCACAATCAGCACCAACTGTTCTGAGAGACTGGTCCCTGGCTGCAACAGTAGCTTCACACATAACAACAATTGTGTCAGTCGGCACAGGGTCAGGCAGTGTTTTCTTCTGTTGTACACAGGGTCACTTTGAGTCAGAGCCAGCTTGATGGCACACATAGCAACAACATTGTTACTGAGTAGATTTTGGTATTGCTTGCTAAAGGATTGGTAAAGGATTTAGTCAATATTTAAATCAAATGTTAAATAGAAAATAGTTTTTTTTTCTTTTATAGGGGTTTTCCAGAAAAAAACCCAGAATATTTGCTAGACAAATTCTAAAAGAGCTGTAACATTGAAAAATATTACAGTATTCTGTTAGATTTGTGATTATTTTTGTTTTTAACACTGAACTATGAAAAGTTCTCAAATTCTAATAAAATATAGCAATGGATTTGATAATTTTGCTTAAGTTTAAGTTAAATCAAGAGTGTAGCAGTTACATTGTCTTCTGTCAACTTGAGCGAAGGGGTGGAGTCTAGCCTGTCAATCAAGTCATAGCCAATGGTGCCTCTGTGTGGGTATGGCCTTCTCCCGAGGATTCTGGGAACTCCTGTCTTCCTCCATGGAGGCGGGAAATGCACTCTTTCAGACTGATATTCCAGCTGATAAGCCACATGGAGTCATGCTGATGGAAGGCAGATCGCTGGACTTGTAGGAGCCACGTGGAGACCTGTACTAGGGCTGACATGCTTTCACTGCCACTGGATGCACACCTGGCTTGTGATCTTCCTGCATTCAGCATCATTGCAGGTAGGTGCTGCATTAGTCTAAAGAGGAATCTATGGACTAGTATTGGACATATGGGCTAATATTGAACTTATGGATTTTATCTGGACTGGGTTGGGATGTTTTATTGATGCATAATTACTTCTTGATATAAATTTCTCTCTTACACATATATATGGGTGTCTCTGGATTTGTTTTTCTAGTCAATCTGGACTAAGACAAGGAGTAATGCTACATTAATATTTTGAGATGCTTTACAACATATGTTTTTAAAATTCTTAAATGATATTTAAACTTGACTAGTTATATAAGCACAGTAATAAACATAATCTATTTTTTTCTGAGCATATTGATATATCTTATTTTATAAAATATTGTATAGTGTTTTAGGAATGTGAACTTAGCTTCAGAGCACAGCAAAAATATAGTAACTAGAAATGTCTCCTCAAATTTCTGTTTTCTACTTTATATCACCTTAAGAGCAGAAGAAAATAAAGCTATACTATCCACTATGAGGTAGCTTCTTTTTCTGAATTCCCCGTTCCTTTAACAGTTTGTGTGAACACGTGACCTGTGTTTGAGTAGCTGAGTCTCATGGAAGCATGTTAAAAATGATGAATGCTATCTCACCCTACCTTTAATGAATTACAAACAGTGGAACTTGTGAGCTTTATATATCCCCTAAAGATGCTCTATGTATGTTCACGAATCTTTGCTTTAATATTATCTGCCTCTTCTTTTCATAAAAACATTTATTTATTCTTTCATATAGCTGAAGCTCTAGACAATAATCTACTGGAGGGGATGTGCCATAGCCATCATGTGCACAATTTCACTCATCGTTCGAAATAATCATACTATGGTTCAGTCTTCATATATTCTACAAAAATCCATGAGTTTAAGGATCTTTTTAATTTAAAAAGTTGTGCCCTGATACTACATATTTTTATGCTAAATGTGTAATTCTTTAAAGTTTATACTAATATATATTCCTTCGAGTGCCAAGTATTTCTGCTTCTCTGGGTTAAAGTATGGTTTTTTTTTGTTGTTAATTTCAAAAAGAAATGAAGACCATATTTTCCATTGTCAGATTCATGTTAATATATAAAAATGAAAAGTGCTTTAAAAAAATAACACAGCCCTAAACATTTTATTTTAGTGTCTTGCTTTGTAGGCTTGTTCCTGGCCTCACTTGGGGCACTGATTCAGAGAATGTCACTGCTCTAATTTTAGGTAAGGCATTCATATATTTTCAGCTCTTACATTTTGATAATTTATCACAGGATTAATTCAAAATAAGGAGAAAAAGATAAAAAGTGTTTGAAAAGGAATCTGCTTTAAGGGACTTCTAAGAGAAGCTGCATAGAGACCCCTGGTGGCTAGTTGATTACACATTGAGCTGCCAATCATAAGATCAGTGTTTGGAACTTCCAGTCATTCTGCAAACTTTACAGCATTTATACATTTGAAAATTCAAGATGGCAGGTTTTTTTTCGGTTCTATAGTGTCACTATGA